GTTTCTCTTCTTCTTCTTCTTCTTCTTTTCGATTAATGATTATGGGCTCCGGGGAATGTGATGATGTTTCTCTCTTCCTCTTGTGGCCCGCCGCGGGAAGTGGGGTCCAGGGCATGACAGAGGCGGCCAACTTCAGGTAATCTTTCTTCTTGATGTCTCCCATAAACTTGTCCAAAACCCTCTTTTCCCGTGCGAGCTTGGCGGCGGCCACGCCCACGCGGCGGAGGGACAGAATTTCCCTGTCAAGAGCGGCGGCCTTCTCCGCCTCATCTTGCGCTATGGCCACATCCGCGAGTAAGTGCAGATTACCCGCGAAATCCAGGGAGGCGGCGGCAGGTGGCGACTCCACAGTCGCCGTCATCATCGTCATAATCATAAAAAAGAACAATTTCTTTTTTCGGATTTTCGGCGCAAAGAACGAGTAAATGAATGAATAGGGAAACTCCGAGTGCGTGTGGGTGTGTATTATATATACACTCCGTGGAATTTGTTTATTGTTTCCGAGTCCAAGTATGGTCAAAATTAGGTCAAGGGTTTCCAAGAATCTCGCTGTGAGTTCTAACCAGTTTCTTGCTAGTCAATTCACGAGTGTCCAAATCTCACAATTAAGGATGATGCCTTCTTAATTACCAAATGGATAACCAGACCATTTTGAATCTAATCGGTTGAACACTTACAATTCAACTCTCATTCTCTTGGTTTTTTTTAACGCGCCAACATCTAAAGAACCACGAGCCGCTGGGTATGGACTTTCAAACGAGTAATCGTGTTAAACGGGTCACATGCCGTTAGATACATACTTCATATGAACAACTGCGCAAAATACTAATGGGTCGCTAGAAATGAACGTCTAGACGGACACCTTGACAAACTTGTTGAGCCAAAACCTGCTCTGGTACCATGATAGAACTTAGGATGAAGTATGAACAACTGGATTAGTCTATAAGACACTTGGGGTGAACCACATTAAAAGTTTGAATCCAATCAATTAGTTAGTTAAACTTGAAAGCTTATATTACCGATCATTGTACTCCGCCGTGTTGTATGGGAGCCGTTGCGTGTGGTGGTGGCGTGGCGATGGTCTGGATGGTCGGCCCGACCCGCACTTTTATTAGGTCTATGCGCCACGTAGCTTCCCCTTCCCCTTTCCCTTATTACTGAGTAATTTTTTATACTCCATCCAAAGCTTAAAAAAGCTTTTGTACGTTAGTTCTTCATTTTTGGAATTCTAATAAAAAGACTCATGTTTCCGTTTTTAGAAAATTTTGTATTGCTTGCCCACGTATCACTTCCATTTGAACCACTTTGACTAATTTACAATTCGATCTTAAATTTGGTGCCAAATCCAATTAAGGATTTTTTTAAGAACGAAAAGAGAATTTTAGTTCAATGCAAATTTTTTATGTGTAGTATGTAAAAATCCTTTGTTTCAAAAATCTCACCAAGATCATATATGACATGAAATTTTTTTGGGTATGAAAACGATATAGATTTTAATTAAATCATGCTTAACTAGCATAAACATTTTGAATAAAAGTTTTTATGGTGTAACTTAACATTAAAATCATTAAAGTTAAATGTTGTGATAAAATAATTTTTCAAATGTCATAATTTGAAATTGAAAAAAAAAACACAAGATGATGAAAAAATAAAATTAAAAGTGAACTTAATTTTCAAAACAACAAATTAAGGCCAAATTTTCAAGTAAAGGGGTATGAGCCCCAAATTCTGGAGTTACTCTTTGTTTGTTGTGAATTGTGATACTTCTTTCCTTCTAAATTGATTTATACCATTTCAACAATATCTAAAATCTTATCTTTTTAAAATTAGATTTATTATAAATTAATATAGAAACAAAATTAACAAGTAATATTATAAAAGACTGTAAAAATAATAACTCCGAATCCGACCCGACATCCAACTCCGGCAAACCTAATAGCTCCAGATTAGACTTGGCAAATCGGTCGGTCAGGTCGGGTTCGGTTTCGATCACCTTGGATTCGGGTTACTTCGGGTTTGGATAAGTTTGTGTTCGGGTTGATAGCTACATGTTCATGACCCAGTGTCATCGGGTTCGGGTTGACCCAACGGGTTATGAGTTTCATTTATTTTTTGAAATTTTAAAAAAATTTTATGACTTAGTGTCAATAGGCTAAAATCCACCATTGGTCCTTCAACTTTATCAATTTTGCACGATTGGTCTTTCAAGTTTCAAAAGTCCATAAATAGTCCTTCAACTTTATGAGTTCTGCACCATTGGTCCTTCAATTACAAAAGTCCATAAGTAGTCGTTCAGGTACACGTCAGCCCCCCATATGAAGTTCTTTTGATAGTAAATATTAAAAGTTAAACGAAATACTAGTTTCATATAATACGAGTAAATTCCACTAGGTACGACTACTCCGTATTATATGAAGCTAGTCATCCATTTAGCTTTTAACATTTACTGTCAAAAGGACCCTATCTGGAGGGCTGACGTGTAGTTGAAGGACTATTTATGCACTTTTAAAACTTGAAGGACCAATCGTGCATAACTCACAAAGTCGAAGGACTATTTATGGACTTTTAAAACTTGAAAGACCAATCGTGCATAATTGATAAAGTTGAAGGACCAATGGTGGAGTTTAGCCGTGTCAATATTACGAATAAAAAAATTAAAAATGTAGAAACTTTGAAAAAATATAAGATAATTATGCGACTTCATTAAAATTTGTTATGATGGTAGAAATCTATACACAAAAAATGAGTTGAGTAGTAAGCAAAGAAATATAATTATAATCTTATTTTAATAACAGTACAGTTCATATTAAAATGTATGATTCCGAAAAAATCTTAGATTAGCGAGTCGGTTAGGTCGGGTTTAACCCATTTTTAGCGGGTCATTTTGGGTTCGATCAACTTCGGGATTGGTCAGCAAAATCTTTGTTCAAGACCTAGTATTTTCGGGTCGGGTCTTGGGTCAAAAACAGATCGGGTCATTTTTTGCGGTCTAGCTCCGGATATAACCCGCAACCCAAACCAGACCCCTGCCCGGTTGCCTAATGTGCCGCGGGTCGAACCCAAACCCGACCCCTGCCCGCGAGTGTTTCCTCCTTCAAAAATCATCCAAACAGGAGTTAAGACTTTGAGTTATTGGTAAGTTCATATCCAGAGAGATTGAGCTCGCCAATCTCTGTTCTAATGGCGACTCTAAAGGCCAAAAATTGTCTCGTTTCAAATTCAAACCTTCGTCTGAACAACGGCAATGGAACGAAACCCAAGACTAGGATCGAATCGTCTCCCAAGAAAATGTCTGGCCACTGGGATTTTCTGGTAAGATTCATCCCAAATAGGGTTACGTTAGACTTTGCGATATGTTTTCTGGTGTTTTATGCTCATTTTGCTTATTTCTGAATATCGATTGCTCCGTATTCGATTCATTTGTCGATTTTTACCAGATATTCATTTCCCGTTCATAGTTATATACATATTTTTGAGATTATCTGATTGAATTAGGTTTGACAATACTAAATTTATTTATATTCAAATCTCATTTAGTTATTGTTTAACTGATACGAGTACTCCGTGCTTCTTGAAGGATGAGATTGAGGCCCCAATGTGGGTGGATCTCTCTTTGGAATCCAAGTATGCAGATACGGATAAGTAAGTGTCCGTACAGTTCTTGGCCATTGTCAAATTCATATCTGGTTTCAAAAGCCAATAAACACCACCAGTTCACCTGATTTGTTGTCTTTGTTTTGCAGAGATGATGAGTGGTTTTACACAAGCCATTTGTAAGCTTCGTACCATTTCCTCCTGATTCCTTGTTTCATTTCTGGGTTCCCGAAGTGAGTTTTAAATTTCAGGTTCCATCAATCTTCTTCCACGGAATTGAAGGCTGCATTTTCTTGCATTGGAGAGATGACTGGGGATATGCCACAACCGTCTCCCCCAAATCTCCCGCCCTCGGTATCAAGATCAAGGGGTAAAGATTACAGAAACAAGGAGTGGGTGAAGGGAAATCAGAAGATAACTTTGGACAAGAAACATCCAATTACGAACTTAAGCAGTAATTCAAGCGGCACTAGTGATTTCTTGTCAGCTCTGGGGATGAATAGGTGTGCAACAAGACTGGGAGCAAGGGCGGCTGTTTATAGTTACAGCCAATCTGATGGTTGGAAATCTGTTTCATGCAAATCAAGCACGAGATCTTCAAATCCTCACAAGGAGAATAGAAACCTGTCAACGGTACAATCTAAATACAAAACCCCAGAGAGTGTAAATATTTTTAAAATGTCAAAGGTATGATTTCTTCCCACTAAAAATGCAATATTAGATACAGAATTGAGAAGTGGATAACTTCGGTTCATTGCCCAATTATGAAACACAAAAGTAAATGCACCAAATTTCTAGGGTGGGTTTGGATCGTGGACAAAGCTTGGGAAAAAAATAGAGTGGAAAATAAAGAGTAAAATTAGAACGAGACACAAGAAAAGTCTTTCCTGTGGGTTTTCCCTTCCCCTAATGTTTTATGGGATCCAAACATACCCCTAATAATCTGAGACACAGATTGAATTCAGAGAATACAACTCAAGTTCTTTGGTATATGTTGAATGACTCACTCGCTATGTGTATTAGTGTTTTCTTTATAACAAACTAATGTATGGATTGTCAAACTGAGACATTTTCTTTATTGGTTTTCTGAATGTTTCTTGGTTCTTGCAGGGTCATCAGCATACCAACATAACTCAACAAAACCCTTTACTTCCTAAAAGATGCAACACAAGCGTGCTTCCAGATGTGGGTTCAAAGTCTAAAGAGAGCAAAGGAAGCACATTTAAAAGACCTGTGACCAGTGGTAAAGAGAATGCACCGAGGGCAATGTATAAGAATCAGGATTTAAGCATCAAAGAGAGGGCAGGAGCTACAGTTAGAATGCAAGCTCCTAAATTTTTGAAGGAAAGAGTCCAGGGAACTAGTGCCAGAACAATACTGACTGATTCAAAGGTACTGTTCTTGCTGTTTGATTCATTAAGGGTATGTTTTTTACTTGTGCTTGGTTTTACCTCCTAAATGCAAAGTAATGAAATATGATTATGTTTTTTTTACATATTGTGTGATTTCTTAATCTGCATATAAATAGAAGTTAAATTAATAAGCTGAGTTTTCCAACCGTATTATTTTGAATATCTTGGACTCAGATGACATGCTTGGTGATTAATAAAGATATTTATTACTGAGTACTTTTCTAGGGAAGTCGATTCACATCTTTATGAGTACTACCTTTCAAAAAGAATTGAAGAAGGAAGAGTTTAAACAAATAGCACCAATAAATTTATTATGGTTGAATGAATGTTTTAATTTCCCACATTTTTTCCTTCCAAATTCCCCCACTATGTATTTTCTTCCTTGTTCCCTTCGTTACCATCTTACCAGTTCCAAATGCTCCCTAGCAGGATGATAGCATTTTCCTTTAAGGCTCTTTTGGGAACATCAATAATAAGGCCATTTGTTTTTTTATATAGATTTACTGATCCTAGGATTGAAGTAATACTACTGTTGCACTGAAGTCTTTTCAGATTTGACTTCCAGTCAAACCCGTTCAACTTTAACAATAATATGACTTGTGTTCCCCTGCAATTCGTCAATGTACATGACGCTAAGCACACACTGTTTGCTTACGCTTTGATTGTTTTTTCCATGTGTGTCCTTATATTGACTTAAGGACATATGGGTTATCAATTTTCACTATATTTCATATTGCAGGTAACACTAGATAAGAAAAGAGAAGTGAATAGTTCTTATAATATCGGTAAGAAGGTCTTCTTGAGATGAGAATGATCCGTGTGGATTGTTACCTGCAATCTAGGTAAGGCACAATAAAGAAGATGAATAAGGACACTTCTTCATGGTTCGGGTACTAAAGAGCCCATGTCCGGTTTTGTTCACTTTAGGGCATTAAGGGCACTGGCCTTCATGGCATCCCCTTAACATGGAGCCAACAGTAATTCATCATTTGATGACTCCTCTTGTGAATATATGGTGTAAAGTGACAAGGAATGAATATATTGTCGTGCTCTTTCTATCGTTACAGAAACTGGTTATCAAATGAAAACTATCCACTTGGGGGCTGGGGGCTAGTCTCTGCCTCGCNGGGGGGGGGTACAAGTCGGGTTTGAAACCCCCAACCTCTAATATAGAGTCAATCCTTAGGTTCCTTTCTAGGCTTTTGCTAAGTTCAAAAGTATTTGTTCAATTTGACCTTTTCGAATTTATTGAAATCAACAAACATGCAATCAACAACACTTTAAAACGAAGTTATTGCTTTCACCAATGGAATTACATTGCCATTTTTGCTTTAAAAAAATCGTGTTGAGGAGAGATTTGTACTAAAAAATCCACACTTAATGATTTCCTTCAAAGTCCGTTTGGTATACGGAATTAGAATTGATTTGGAATTGAAATTCCATGAGATTTGATTCCATAGAATTGAATTCTATCAATTCTAATTCATTTTTTACACTATCAATTCCAAATCCACATAATTTTTGTGCTACGAAACACTAGAATTGGAATCGAAGTCCTGAATTCCAATTTCATAGTTTGAATTCCGTGTACCAAACGGGACCTCGACATATTTTCTCGTAATTTCTTCTTCTGGCTCTTCTTCTCTGCTACGGCAAGTTCTATTTTCTTCCTGATAAGTCTGATTTCCTTGAGGATTTGTTCATAGCCCCTTCTTTTGGCTCTTGCTTAACTCCTTGATTTTTCAATACCATTGAATTTGAACCTGTATTATAAGATCTTAATTGAATACAACAAAATTTTAAATAATGGGTGTTGCCAATTAATTAATTAATTGGTTAAAAGCCAATATTTTATTAGTTGTTGTGTCCCATCCCTGAGGACAACATTGTAAACGACACCAGATTCACTGTAAGCCCATTCATACGACGACGATATACACATGTCTTGCGCCTACCCACATGCAACATCATCTTATATATACATATAAATACATGTTTGTTTTGGTCTTAATTTTTATTTATTTATTATTATTTGTGATCTTGTAATTTAAGTCTTTTTATTTTATCTAGAGACTAAAATATGGAATTTGGAGTTTGGAAATGCAAATTTAAAATTCAAATATAATAATAATTTTAACTAAAATCCAGATATATCAGATATTGATGTCTCTAAAATAGAAAAAGAATAAGCACATACAGAAAGCACGGGAATGTTCTATTTATTTTTAACAACAATTACGGTATTTACCTTTAGAATTTGAAACGATAATCTATCAAATTTGAAATGGTTATCTAATGATAAAATGTTTACACTAATTTAAAAAGTTGTTCCTAAATAAAGTCATATCTTTACTAAATTAGAAAACTCAGAAGAAGAAAAAGAAACGTAAGATGAACAAATTGGGACATTATTGGTAAGTATATAAAAACAGTCAAACATCTACTAGTGCCTTTTAGAAGAATTTACTTAAATAACAGTAAAACATAAAGACTTTTCCTAAATAGAATTATATGTGTTTTTTCCAATATAGCACTTTTAGTCATTATGCATTAGTCATTATTCAAGTAATATTTATCATCACCAGACATTATTAAGTATTATTTAGAGAATAAAACAATTTAAGTGTTATTTAGGGAAATTACTTAAGTTTTAGTGCTATTTAGTGCAAATATTTTCTCTTTATATAACATAATTCTGTATATAACATGATAATATAGTATCAACAAACATTTTGAAGTGCAACTCAAGGAGATAATTATAACTTACAAAAAATATAATGAATTACGGACTAAATAAATTAGTTCCATTGTGTAAAATAATTTATTATGCAACTTCACAAATTTTGAAATATTATTTTGAAAAATATTATTTCTAGATTATCGATTATTGAAAAATAATAATTAATGTCACTCTACAAAAATATTTAAATTTGGTATTATTTATAAAACATTTTAAAAAACAATTAAATTTGAAGTTAGAAAATAAAAAATGAAAAAAGAAAATTACCTAAAATAATCTCACTTTTCATTTAATTGCAAAACAAAAAGTATTTTCTAAAATTCTGTTTAGTAACCATTAGCATCCTAACGCTGAGACAAAACTCACACATTTGAAGAAATGTGAAATTATTTTCCATAACAATGTAAACTACAATTATTTTTGGAAGAACGCGAGCATGTGAGATTGTTTGAAATAATTTTCCCAAACGTTTATTAATCAATAGGTTAAGTAATCTCTCTATGGAAAGACTTTGTAATTGAGTAACATAAATATTTTATTTTCTAGAATTTGTAGTAAGCTTTAATAAATTAAATTGAAAATGAATTCACTCAATCATCATACTCTATTTTGTACATCTGGTTGCTAGTTATTTGAATAATTAATAGTAATAGGAATTCTATACAATGATTATCTTTGCACTTACCATTTTAAGATGTCCCAAAATATCTTTCCATTACCTTTCATGAAAACAAAATAAACAGTTAAAAATACAGTTTTATTGTTATCTATTTAAATATGAAGTAAATACTACTCCCTCCCTTCTAAAACTAACTCCACAGTTTGAGTTTCGGGGTCAAACATTTTGAACTTTGATTGCATATTACTGAAAAAATATATTTTATTTATATATAAAATTAATATCAATAAATTTATTTTTGAAACATATCTTTCATGAAAATAGAAATATTAATGAAAAAAGTATTGCATTAGAGTTTGTAAAAAGTCAAATTGAAAAGTAACTTTATGAGAGGAGTATTTTATTTTATAAATACTACTCTTTAAGGTCTTGTTCTTTAGATCTTGAACTCTTAACTTCCAGTATCTTCTAGTTCTTTCGAATTTCTTCTCGTTTCTTCTAGTTTCTTCTAGTTCTTCCAGTTTCTTCCAATTTTTCCAGTTTCTTTCAGTTTCTTCCAACATACATATCTTTTTTTCTAGTCTTAAAGAACATTCCCTAAATGCGGAGTAACACCAATATCTCTGTTTAAAAAAATTTACCATACGAATTTTACAAAGTTTAATAAAATATTAAAAAATGATATATATACATATGAGAAAGGTTAAAAAGACATTAGTACTACTAGAGTCATTTGCTAACACTACTTTGTTTGAAAAACATACGATGCTCCAATTATAAAAATGATTATTCTTACTTTCTTAACCCTCCCCCTAGACACCCACCCTAACCTCACCTCTGCCCCTCAACCCCACCCCCCCTCCATACTGCCATGGTAGGGAGGGGACTAGTAGGATTTTTGGTGTTTAGATGACACACACACACACACACAATGATATATATATATATGGGAACATCTAAAATGACACCAGTTGCTTACACTAGTTTGTTTGGAGTACCTATTGTGCTCTATTTGTAAAAATGACAGTTCCTACCCCCACTAACCCTCCCCAAAAACCCCCGAGCCCAGCCCCACCTTGCCCCCACCCGAGCCCCCCCTCCCTACCCTGGCAGTATGCTACAGGCATCATACTACCAGGGTAGGGAGGGGGGCGGGAGGGGGGGCAAGGGTATTATACACACACACACACACACACATGGTAAGTCTAAAATGACACCAGTGTTACCTGTGTCATTTGCTTACACTAGTTCGTTTGGAGTACCTACGGTGCTTCGTTTTAAAAAAAGACGGTTCCTACCCCCTAACCCTCCCCTTAAACCCCTCACCCAGCCCCCTCCCGCCCCCCTTAAACCCCTCACCAGGGTAGAGGGGGGGGGGGAGGGGTGGGGGCAAGGTAGGGGTTTAGGGGGAAGATTAGGGGGGTAGAGACCGTCTTTTTACAAACGGAGCACCGAAGGTACCCCAAACGAACTAGTGTAAGTAACTGGTGTCATTTTAGACGCTCCCATATATATATATATACTCCCTCCGTCCCATAAAACATGGGATGTTTTGCTTTTTGAAGAGATTTAAGGGAGTGTATTTTGGTATTGAATTTCCAAAAATGTCCTTTGATGTGATGGGTAAAAGTAGGATTTGATGGGTAGATTATTAGTAAAAAAGTATGATGTGATAGGTAGGGTATGAAAAAGTAAGAGGTAAAAGTGACTTTTTAATAGAAATGAGAAGTGTTTTATGGGACGGATGAAAAAAGAAAGGAGAAAGGTTTTATGGGACGGGGAGTATATAATTAGAATGTATGTATTCAATGGGACAAATTAGAATCAAAGTATACTACAGTATTAAATTGGATATTAAAAAGAAAATTAGAGAAAGGTAAAGATGAATCTACTTTTTGAGCAAAAAATATCCTTCCAATGTTACAATTATAGGGTCATCTATTTAGAGACAGAGCAACTCACAATCCACAGTTTTTGCTGCAATGAGAGCCATTGACTGAGCGAATCAGAGACAGAGATCGTGAAGAAGAAGAAGAAGAAAAAGAGAGGGGAGAGCTTTTTTCAGATTTCTATCTTCTCCGGGAACGCGGCGGCGGTAGAGCTGGTGGATGGCTGAATCTGGGCTCGAGGAATGAATATCACCGGCGGCAATACTGAGCTCCCTGCGATCGCATCTCCACAATCGCCAGATTCGGATCTCCTGCATAGGCGTCCCAGCACTCGCAAACTCTCTCGACGGAAAATCAGGAGCGCCGGCGCCGGAGTGCGGTTGCGTAAGGATATTAGTGGAACTCCTGCTGGGAGGAGGAGTAGGCCTCATACTCCGCTGCTGCGGTGGAAGTTCGATGAGGATGTGGAGGTCAGCAATGGTTGCGGTGCAGAAGAGGAGTGCCTGGGTCGGAAATGCCATCTGAAAACTAGAGCTCCGTTCTCTGCACGAAAGCTTGCTGCCGGAATCTGGCGGCTGCAGTTGCCAGCAGTGCCTGCCGACGGGGAAAATTTAGGGTTTCAGGTAATTGCAGATTAATATGCTTTCTGCTAACAAGGCTTTTCCTTTTTACTATTGTATTCCCCTTAAACTCCATATCTTTGACCAAATATTGTTCCCCCAATCATTAAATGTAAAGAAATTCAATTAATTGAGCTCTATGCAATGATTAACGATTGTTGATGAGAAATCTCAAATGTAAATTGCTTTAGCTGGTTTCCATTTAAATTTGAGATAGTGGTGAAAGCAGCAACCAACAATGATTGTGTACTTGTGTCATGCTGAAGACTTGGATTTTCTGGGTGAGGGCGTGTTTGGTTGGAGGAGAGGGAATGCTTCCTTGTTTGATTTGTTGGAATGAAGGGGAGAGGAAGGCAAAATGTTAACTTGAGGGCTGATGTGTGCTTGGTTGGAATAAATTTGAGGGGAGGGGGAAGGGAGAATGGATAGTATCCCTTCGGGCCTCCCCCCTCAACCAAACACATCGTCACATCCTTAGGTTGTTTTTGGTTTGGAGAGGTAGCTGAGACAATATTCACTGCCATTTCTTTCGTGCTTTTATTGGATACTTGTCAAGAATCCTATCTCAACCAAAAGATATACTTGTTGTTGTAAGGCCAAACATGGTTTCATTCTCTAAAACGCCTCCCACATACAATCAAGTTTTTTTTGCTCGAGCTTGCGCGTGATGTTTTTAAAAACTAGGTGGTGGTGAGGTTTAAAGTCGTGGCCTCTAGGTCAATTACTCTTTGATACCATGTTAAGGAACCAACTCAACGAAAAGGTCAAAGCTTGTAGTTGCATGTCCAGAAAAGGTTTTAATACTCTAACAATACTCCCTATTTGAAAAGAGTGCATAAGGTTGCTCTCCTTGATCACATTGAGCCTTGTGATCTGGAAAAGTCTTTTCCTGGGATTTGAATTTCACTATGTGTTTGATTATTTTTCATGCAGGGAGGAGTTGGTCATGCCGGGACTCCCTTTTATAGTCATCGTCACAGTAAAACTCAAGATTCTCAAGTTTCGGAATCATTAGAGAGTCCTCGTTCTGTTTCTGGCCCAAGAAATGGAACATTTCGAAAGGTATGGAGTTATTTTGCACTCGTCTAATTCATACCCCATAAGTTTGTTTGGCTACCCTAGAAAGTTTAACTTTCTAGAAGAAAAAAAGATGGAGTTTGACTTCCTCACTTAAGTACTTAGCCAGACAATATTTCACTTTCTCTAGGGAGAGAGAGCCAAGATTTAGAACCTGTTGGTCAAGGATGGATTTGGCTTCAATTGCTGATGTTGTTGTATAAGAAAAAAAAATATAAAAATGTAGTATTTTATTGATAAACAAAGGAAAAGATGTATGGAAAAAAAGACTACATTGATCATTTTCAGCACATTTGATGGTGAAAATATCCCAAGCACTCTTTTCACTACTAAACATTTCAGCGAGTGCAATCTCTTAAGTTAGTCTTGGGTAAACAAATATATTTTACAAGGCTGATGAGCCGAAAAAACTAGGCTATCAAAAGTCCACTATTCTTGGGAAAGTGAGATTGTTTTCCCCAAAATATCTCCCAAAAAACAACCAAACATTTTGTTACGATCGATGGAGTGACGGACTTACTTTGAGCATGGGGTTTTCAACCTCCATTTGTTTATCTTAAGCGTCTGTGTTTGAGCTGAGGTCTCCTAGTAATATAGCCTCTCTACTTCTAAGTAGGGGCGAGGTCTGCATACACACAGCCTTGCCAAGCCTTACTTTTGTGGGATTTACCGGGTTTGTTGTTGTTTAATTCATTCATCTCACACTCTCACCTTCTTTAGGTTGAACCGTCATTCCACTTTCCCAACACGGCAACAATGGAGGGAGCCACAAAGTGGGACCCCATCCGTTGGAATGCAGCCGAAGGAGGAACCAAACATATTCATGGTCACCAACAAAAAGCACACACTTCCAGTATGGTATCTGTTCTGGAGGAAGAGCTGGATCAAGCACGGGCCCGCATACAGGAGCTCGAGACAGAGCAGCAGTCCTACAAGAAGAAAATTGAGCAGTTCTTGAAGAAAGTCAGCGAAGAACGGGCTCTCTGGCGAAGTAGAGAGCACGAGAAGATCAGAACAATCTTGGAAGACCTGAAAGTTGAGCTGGCCAGAGAAAGAAAAACCCGGCAAAGGGCTGAAATGGTCAATGCAAAACTGGTCAATGAGCTAGCTGATGCAAAGGTAACTGCAAAACGGTACATGCAAGAGTACGAAAAGGAAAGAAAGACAAGAGAGTTGATAGAGGAAGTCTGTGATGAATTAGCCAAAGAGATTGGAGAAGATAAAGCTGAAGTGGAAGTATTAAAAAGAGAATCTGCAAAGCTTCGCGACGAAGTTGACGAAGAGAGAAGAATGTTACAAATGGCCGAGGTCTGGCGCGAGGAACGCGTTCAGATGAAGCTGATTGATGCAAAGGTGACACTGGAAGAGAAGTATTCCCAGATGAACAGACTAATTGCAGATTTAGAGTCACTTTTATGTTCTAAAGGCATAAATAACCCAGACATGGATGAGATTAAGAAATTCGCCGCTGCTGTTAATGTTCACAACATTCAAGAATTCACATACGAGCCGCCAAACCCGGATGACATTTTCTCCATTTTTGAAGACCATATGGTTACAGAAGAAAACAACTCACAGAGACACCACCACACGAAATCTTACACGAACCAGAGCGACGGTTATGGAGGAGAAGATGGAGGGAGTGAGTGGGAAACAGTGAGCAATGTGTCAAGAAGTGGGGCTGGATCCACACCAGCGACAGATATCAGCGAAGTTTGTTCCTCGCCAGCTCACCCAACGAAGAAAGGATCGTCTATGTCTAGGAGGAGGTGTCCTAACGGGGGGAGGCACGCAAACAGAGAATGGAGTAGAGAGGATGATGTCAGCACCACCAATTCAGGGGACTCGGGTAATCATCATATAAACAGAGCTATGAAAGGGTGCATCGAGTGGCCGCGGAACTCAACACAGAAGAACAGTTTGAAGTCTAAGCTGTTGGAGGCGAAAATGGAGAGCCAGAAGATACAGCTACGCCATGTACTGAAGCAGAAGATTTAGAGAGCCCGAAGCATGTATTAATTTTTCCCCCCCTTTTCTTTTTCCTTTTTTCTTCTGCTCATTTAAACTACTATGGGAATAACTTATTTATGTATCCAATGAATGCACATTAGTTTAATGGTTCATGAAGTATAAATAAGGGAGTATTTTGGGCATGTTTGGGAATAGCATTACCTATTAGTGTTAGCATTTTGAAAAGACTATCTATGGGTAGCGTTTTCAAAGTAATCTGCACCGTTAAAATTTTATCCAAAATGCTAACGCTAATCTCTAACGCTATTCCCAAACAGACCCTTTATTCGGATCAATGATATATATAGCCAAATATAGTAAAAAAATTTCATTTCCCTCAGAAGAGTGGCGGGAGAATGATGAAAGATTCAAAGGAAGAAATGAAGATGTGCATTACGGACTTGTGGGAAGGAGCAGGACGGTCGGGATAGAAATCATTTTAAGATCTCCTAGTCAAAAACTTAGAATTATGAAAACATTGAAATTTACAATGAGTAAATCATGAAAAAAAACCCAATCGAAAACATTATAAAAGCGTCCAAAAGAAATTCTCAAATAAATTGAAGATATATAAACATAAAAAAAACTATTTTAGCATATAAATCTTTTGAAATTGGACAAAAAAGAAAAAAAAAGTGAGTGTATATTTGGTATTCCTTAGGGAACATGTTCGACCGTTTTAACGTTTTAAAATAAATATATAATGATAATGTTTAACTTTATTAGTTTTAATGTTAGTTTACACCATTATAAAATACTCTTTCTGTCTTCAAATGATTTACATAGTTTACTATTTAAAAATTGCGGGATCTTTTGTTTATTTATATGTTTTCGTTAGCTATTAGACGAAATAAAATATTATTGTTACCTCTTATTTTGTAAAATTTTGATGGAGTTTATAAGTATGTAAGTTTTACTTTTCTTAATTCATATATTAATCTTTAAATAAAATAAATTAAAAAACTTAATATTTTATTTTATTTTGCATAAAGAGTAAATAATTTTGAGATTTAAAATGATAACACTAGGAAGAAGAGTATAAATGGTGAGGAAAAAAGTTTCCTTTTTTGCGGTACCCATTTCAAAGGCATCGGATAAAGTTGGAAGAAACGGGGCGAGTGGGACCCCTCCCTGATCAAGAACATCTTGAAGGAAAATCGAAAATCAATTCTTTGCTTCTCTGGTTAGATCCCAAAACGTCTCCTCTCTGTCTCTCCGCTTCTTCATCACTTCCTCCCTTTTTTTCTTTTCCTCTTCCAGCTGCACTCTTCTTCCGAAATCAAATCCCAGAATCAGAATAAGCTTCTCCATCTGCTTTGATAAAACAAAAAGGTCAGAACTTCCTTCGTTTCTTCCCCATCTGTTCGTTTTCTTTTTCAAGAAAAGCCCAATCTTTGTTTTTCTGTTTTGAACTTATATAGCTCTTTCTTTCATCAATTTGGGTCCTCTAAAGATTTTCTATTTAGGCATAATATAATCTCTTTTAGGTGATCTTTTCAGGTGCAAATCTAATGGAAGGCATTATAGTTAGAAGAGTCATTCCTTCAGACAACAGTTGCCTCTTCAATGCTGTTAGGTAAATAATAATACTCTCTGATGATAATAGTAATAGTAATAGTAATAAAAAAAGGTTTTTTTTGCTATAGTTAATGTCTGAAACCTGTTTTGTTGTTCTATCTAGTTATGTAATGGACCATGACAAGAAAAAGGCTTCAGAGCTAAGACAGGTGAGATTTTTCTCTTTAATTCATGAAAAATTATGTTATTTAAGTGCACAGATTAATTATTATATTCATGTCTCAAAGATTGTCATGTATACCTTATTTTGTTTTACTTGACATTATCTATGCTTTTCTGAACTGGGGTTCCTTGAAAACAATTTCTCTACTTCCAACTAGGAATAAAGCATCTGTACATACACCCTCCGTAGACCTTACTTCTGTGGGATCCTATTGGGTTTGTTTGTTTGTGTGTTGTAGTATGTTTTAAAGATTGTCATCCCATTTTACATCTGTTAGTAGCTTGAGATGGAAGGTGCAATAGAAGTACATTCTTTGGGGACAAATAATTTGTACTGTGATACCCATTTTGATGGTAATGATTTAGTGGTTTCGTTTGAGGTGGTGTGTGGATCAGAGAGTATGTTATGGAAGAACTAATCTGATCTTTCCTTACGACAACAAACCTAGTAAAGTCTCACTAAAGTATGGTCTAAAGAGGATGTGTGTACGCAATCCTTAGCCCTACTCGGGAGTATAGAGATTGTTTCTAAGAGAATCCCGGCTCAATCACAGAAAGTAGACAAAGTTAAAAGTTTTTCAGGCATTTGATGATTCTCGAATATTCTCAAATGGTATAATTCATAATGTCTTCTCAATGTGTCCAAATGGAAGTGCCCTCCTCTGAAAGTGTCATTATGAACCATTATTGGAAAAGTCGTCTAAAATAATTAAAACTTACAGAGCAGATCATATTCATAATTTCATATGTAGGCGCATTATTCTTTACTCAATCAGAGTCCCAACATAATGCGAAAACCGTGATTCACATTGCATTTATCACTCTGTTTCTCCATTGAAGGTTATTGCAGCAACAGTTGCCAGCGATCCAACGAAGTATTCTGAAGCTTTTCTTGGGAAGCCCAATCAAGAATATTGTGAATGGATTATGAATCCAGATAAATGGGGCGGTATGCGTCGACTTTGCAAAATTTCATTTCGTTTTTTTTTGTACTTTTTTCTTTCTAGTGAGATGCATGGTTTATGATTGCTAGTGAAGAAATTAAGTGTCCTCTGATCCGTCGGATTTTAACTTGTCAACAATGTGTATAGGTGCCATAGAGCTTTCAATTTTGGCAGAGTATTACAGTCGCGAAATTGCTGCTTATGATATACAGACTACCCGTTGTGATTTGTATGGGCAGGTTAGTGCTTATCGAAGCATTGAGAAGTGTTTTTTTGGGACGGAGAGAGTATTTTTTCATGCCTCTCTTTTATGTTATGGTGATGAGCAGGAAAATAATTATCCTGAAAGAGCACTGCTGATTTATGATGGACTCCATTATGATGCTTTGGCTGTATGATCTCTCTCTCTCTCTCTCTCTCTCTCTGTGTGTGTGTGTGTGTGTGTGTGTACACACACACACACACATATATATGAATGAGATTGAGATTGGCCATGTGTGTATGTGCTAAACTCTTGAACTTTACATATTCAACAGATGTCCCCTTCCCAAGAGGCTCCAGAGGAGTTTGACCAAACAATTTTCGGGGTGCAGAAGGACCGCACCATTGGCCCTATCGAAGCGCTGGCCCTTAACCTTGTCAAAGATCAGCAAAGGTAATTGTTAGAGTATAAAACATTTCATGGGCCTACAACCATAAACTTGAGTTTTTAGTTAAATTGATCCCTTGACATGGTATCAGAGCATTGTTGGCCTAAAGGTTACAAGAGATAAAAAAAAAATAATGTTCACGTGCAAGGGTTGAGTAAAAACAAATCTCGCATGCACATGAGAGCATGTTAGAGTATAAAACTTTTCTTGGGCCTACAACCAACCCTAAGCTCAAGCTTTTGATTCAATTGATTCTTTGACTTCCGAAGTTCCACAGTTGAATCATGTGGTAGCTCAGATTGATACAATGCAGGAAAAGGAGCTATACAGATACTGCCAACTTCACGTTACGCTGCGGAGTTTGCCAAATTGGAGTTGTGGGACAAAAGGTTTGTTCGTGTTGCATGTGTCGACCCATCTCCGTGTTTTCCATGCTTTTACACTATGTTTGGTTCAAAGAATTTGACTTAAAAAAGAAAAAGGAAACGATATTGAAAACCAATTTTCTTTTTTTGGGTAGAGAGGAAAATAAAAGAAAAAAGTGGAAGGAAAAGAAAATGAAAGGAAAAAAGAAACTAAAAATGTTTCCTCTAATTTGGTGAGGAAAAAGAGAGAAATCTTTGTATTTTCCTCTCATTCCTAATTCCTCGAACGAGACATAGTTTCTCTTTCACTTGTTTGGTTCAAGAAAGTTATAAGTAATTGGTGTTATTTTACACGCTCCTTATATATCTCTGTGTGTGTATATAAAATAATTTTTTTTGTTTGGTTAGAGATGAAAAGAATAGTTCATGTCCTAAGTCTGACGTGTTCAATCAAATTTTTGCAGGAGGCTGCTGAGCATGCACAAGCAACTGGACATGTTAACTTTCAAGAATACAAATGAAGTTGTTTTACAGGAAATAGTTTTGTTTCATTATGTAGTTGGAATTGAAGAACTCTTTTAATTTTTATTTTTTTATGAAAGAAAGAAAAAGTGCACACTTATATTACACACAGAATGACAAAGATGAGTCTAAAACACTGATGAGGTAAGTTCAATATGTTTTTGGCTCTGAAACACTAATTTACATGTGCTAAAAACATGAATTCTTGTACTCTTTTCTGTATTGTTTACTTCTTTTGTTTCATTTTGCATATTTATTTGTTTGTTTATTATTACTATTATTGATATTATTATTATTAATTGTGTTTAATGTATGGAATAGCGTTTAAATTACATATTGCACCAGATAGGAGCAAAATTTGTTGCACCTACATAGTATCTAAATGGTATCTTGTTTCAAAATTTTTTGTTATTATAAAAAGGGTCAAACATGAAAAGGTAGCTTCATTTTTTTTGTAAAGCCAAGACAAGAATTGTGAATGCATGTGTAAAACCAAAGTTAATTACAAATTAGTCTTGAAACAAGTTCAAGGGTTATCTTTGTTCTAAGAAAAGAGATTACATTTTGAACTCCCCTTTTCTCACACAAAAGATATTCCATTTTGTTATATGCCACAAGTGCCAGTTGTTTTGTTAAAGCATACCCAGAAAAGAAATATTTAAAAAAAGTGCAAATCAAAACTCCAATTTTGGGACAAAGTACCTTTTATTAATCTCACATGGTAGTTGGTAGTACAAATGCATTCATGGTTGATGATCAATACAGTATAATGATAAACATGAATGAATAAATGAAAGGGTTCATTTTCTTTTATTGTGTGACCCAGCCAACCATCAATATACATGAATGGCTTGCAGTAAGAAAATGTTGAACCATAATGAGATTTTGTTTTATGCACTTATAGAGCTGCAATGCATTCGATTTCGATTTTAGCATCCTTTGGCAGTCCTGCAACCTGATATGTTGCTCTTGCTGGTGCATCTATTGGAAAATCTGCAACAATATCATTTTAATCACATTATATCACTGCTTTACTTTGGCATTTATGTTCTTCTAGGCCTTTTTTGGAACACAACATTTTCAATTAGCATTGATGTCTTATTAATGGTGCAAACTAGCTTTTAAAATTCTAAAGCTAAACGGTGGCATTAGATAACCTTTTTCAAAACGCTAAAGCTAAAAAGATGTTGTCAAAGAGCCAACTTTTTTATCATCCTGCTTTGCCTTGATCAATCTCCGTAAGATCGAATGCACAGTTTATTACTGTATTATCGGGGTAAAATTATACTACCTCACACCTCAAAGAGTTCATAAAATCTTTTAATTCTGGCAAATTTCAGGCAGAAGTTTTATAACGCCATGAAAAACTACTCCCGTTTGATGATATAGGCCTTTTTTGGGGAAAGAAAAACCATTAACAGGTTTTTTTTAATGTGAAAGGGTGAGTATTACATATACATTTTTATTAACATTGAATTTCATTGCCTTGGAATAATACTATGAAGTTCACTACACCTAAGAGTGAAATTATTTTGGTTACATTCCATATATATACTTACATTTAGCATAGATTTCATTGACTGTATTGAAGTCGTTCAGGTCAGCCAGCCTGCAATGGCGTAAGTTTACATGTTAAAAACAATCACGTAAATGCACCAAAACCAGAGTGACGCAATGGAGTGAGTAGAAAGATACAACACTTACAAGATTGTAGTCTTAACAACGTTGGCATAGGTAGCACCACCTGCTTTAAGTATCTCCCCAATGTTCTTGAGAACCTGCATACAATTTTAACCTCAAAAAATTCGGTTCAAACTCAACAAACAAATTTTGACGAGCAAGATATTCAAAGAGATGTAAAATCTTCAGAAGATCTAAACAAATTTGATTTTAGTTCATCTTCCCCAAGTTAAAGGTAAGAAAGTTTGCTCAGCCCAAAGACTCTTCTTGTGAGATTTTAGTAAATTTACGGTTGTTTCTTTACTTCTTTAGGTAAACTAAACATCAAAAACCCATTTTTCTTGACATTCTTTACCCTTTCCCTGGTTCCAAGCATAGCCTTTAAAATGATAGACACTTCCAAAACATCTAAAGAACATCCAAATAGGGCGTAATAAAACATAGTATCACATAGGATGTGACAAAGTCTAGATATTACCTGTTCTGTTTGATCCTCTACATGGTCTGACACAAACTCCCCAGTCTGCAATCCAACACGATAAACATTTTAAGAATTCGGTGTTCAAACACAAAACGTAAGCATTGTCGATACAAGTTGTTATAATAACAGTTTCGTGCCTCTGGAATAAGCCCAAGAGCTCCAGATACGAAAAGAAAATTATTTGCTTTGATGGCTTGTGAGTATGGTCCCAATGCCGCCGGAGCGTTTTCTGTTTCAACAACCTCCTTCACACCTATAAGCATCACAGATGGATTCAAACCCTAAATCAGCAAGAAAACTGGACCTGAACTATCAGAGGCTATTTAAGGTAATTAGCAATTTGGCCAATAAACCCTAACTCAAATTTCACTAAAAATCATCAATAACCAAGAATCAAAACCCGAATTAAAGGCAATCGTATGAATATTTGATAGGAAACGGACACGGAGAAATCACAACATTGGAGTAAATTGGGGATTCTCACTGGAATGAGCGGAAGTGCTTAGGGAGGCGAAGGGTTTAGACGGAGACGGCGGCGATAGGCGTAAGCTAGCGCCGGCAAGTGATATGATGCCTGCACCGAAGCCTACTGGAGTACGGCCGCGCAGGCCGCCGAGATTGATTGCCGGAATACAGAAGCTCCTGGCTGCGCTGGTCCACGCCATCGGTCTCTCCGCTCTGAACTTTTGGGTTCAACTCTCTCAAGTGTTCACTACTCAGTACTCACCCGCTCACTAGTTTGATTTAAGTATGTATTTTACACACGTTTTTCACAACACTCAAAGTCCAAGCACCTACTAGAAGACAAATAAAGTTTAATTTAGCTTTCTCACTGACTGTCCGACTAAGTGTGAGGGAACCCTCATGAATGGAGCTCATCATTTATTTCAATAACTTTTTTAATAATTCCAAGACAAATTAGATTATTTGTTTAATCTTATTGTTTGCTTTTCTTGGTTGATTTTTTTTATTTTATCCATAGAATATAGAAAATATATATTCAATAATGATATAAATTTAATATCAATAAATTGATTTTGAAATGAATTTTAAAAATACCATATCTTATAGTACAAAAATTATATATGAATATAGATATTAATTGTCAAAGTATATTAAATACCATGAAAAGACGAACAGATAAAAAATTTGGGAGGGAGGGAGTAATTATTAAAGTGGGAAGGTTAATTCATGGGTCATTTAGGAATTTGGTCCAAACCATTCTAGCTAGGGATTATCCACAGGTTTGCTGCACCAGTACTCTGAAGCATACACTGGTCGAAAATATCTATGCAATAATAAAATTTCGCACTAACATTTAGTGAGTAATCCATTGTGTGTATGTAGATTTTCTATTTGTCCACTTCGAAGGTCCACGAGGCAAGACCAAATGAGAGACTTAGAGCATTGGCAACGGTAAGTATTTCGCTTGCCTCGGGCCCACATGAATCGTGAAAGAGGAGGTGCAAGGCGGGGCAAGCTATTCCACTTTGCTTTGCGTGGCATTTGCGAGGTAGGCTCTTCCAATTTCTTTTTTATTTATTTTTGTTTACTTTTTTTGAATAAGAAAAAAAAATACTTTTTAAAAAGAAATGAGAACATTTATTTTTATTAAAAAAATTAAGTAAACTAAATTTTAATAATTAAATTACGTCAAAAAAAGTATAAAAGGTGACAAAACACTCTTACCCCCGAGAAATTCCATTTTATCTCACTACTACAGATACTCTTAGGATCTGTTTGATGCACAGAATTGACAGAATTCGAATTGAACTGAAAATTGAAATTCTATGGAATTGATTTTGTTGGAATTGAATTCTCCAATTCCAATTCATTTTTGGCACTACATATTTTTGTGAACCCGAACAACGGAATTTGAATTATTGTCTTCGGTTCTAATTTCATAATTTGAAATTTATGTACCAAACAGGGTATTAATTCTAGAGTTTCTTACTCAACCATAAAGGACGTGTGCTTTGAGGAAGAAGGAGATTCTCACTTCTCCACGCACTTTATATCACCTTCATTTTTAATAGAGTTTCAACCGTACCAAATTCAAATTGTTATTATTATGTACATATTAGATACAGAAGGTACACACTAACACTCCTTTCTTGATATCATTATGTTTATCAATTTGATTTCAGTATAAAAATCATTGTGTTCATGTTTGTATCGTATGGTACGTCACATTCTAGAATCAAATTCTTCATTGTTGAACATATATCAATAGAAAAGACATGTATTTCGTAGCTTTTACCGATTTACTTTTCGTCAAATATCATCGTGTTTAATTACACAACTTAACAAATTTATCATTCTAGATCGAATTTTACTATAGCAACATTTTGATCTCAAACATCTTTTTCATGAAGGTGGTGAATTAATTACAATGGGGATGATTTGATCTCTTGGTGTATATAACCAAAACCAGATTTAACATTCACACTTTCTAACAGACATCCACAGACACTTTACCACACTTTCTCACCGACATCTACAAACAAGGCCCGTAACGTCGGAGAAAACTCGGGGGGAAGGTGGGATGAAACTTGGAACATGTATCATATTTTGCCTCCATATGTGAGATATGGGTCTTGTTATAACAAGACATGAAAGTGATTAAAAAACGTCCATTCTGCAAATGGGACAAGTCCCATGTCGGATAAGCCATTGGTCTATGCATTGCAAGTGGAAAGAGTGTTTGCAGCTTGGCAAGGCCCTCCCATACTCCCCATTCTCAAATTCCTGCACCAAAAAAAAATGAAATTGAGAATTAGACCTAACAAAAATGGATTTGATCTTGTTGAAATATTGGAATAATAATATTGCTCTTTGAATTATGAAGTACATGATAGAGTATATATAGAAAAGACTCCTAACACAACTAGGAATAGAGAATGGAAACTAACTAAAATACAACTTCTACCATAACTAGGAATACTTAATATTATTGTCTAACATTCCCTCTCAAGCTGAACTCTGGCTGAAACAAGAGGAAGCTTGGACACTAGCCGGAAACTGAAAATTTTGAGAAGAGAGAAGTCTGACGTGTGCCGGTGGCTGCTGACGTCGTTGGAGAGGAGAGAAGTCTGACGTGCGCTGGTAGCTGCAGACATCGTTGAAGAAGAGAGAAATTGATGTGCGCTTGTAGCTGCTAACGTCGAAGAAGAAGAGAGAAGGTTGATGTGCGCTTGTAGCTGCTGACGTCGAAGAAGAATAGAAAAGGCTACTTGAAGTGCCTGTTTGACTGAAGATCTTTGACATTCTATGTCTTTTTCTTGGATCCGGGCAATGCCCTATTTCCTTCTTGAAGGGGTGAGTTGTAGAGGTCTTCTTTCCTCTTTCACTACTTCCCCTCTTGGCTTTGTTTATGTGTTGATTTACTTTAAATTTTTGTTGGTTGAACAGAAGAGAAAAAGAAGGGAGATTGATGATTAGAATAAGTGATTTGAGAGAGAAAAAAGGGGATTAAGAATTGGTGATGGAAAAAAATTGGGTCTGAGATTTTGATATGGTGAATTGGAGAGAAACAACAATCACTTTTTTCCTTTTTTTTGAGAAGATAGGATGATCTGAGAGAGTTTTTTTAGAAGTTGGGCTTTTTTTTGAAGAACCATGGAGATGATGACCCAGGAGCATTCCGGTGCAGCGTTCGTAAAATTGACAGTTCCTACCCCGCCTAATCCCCCAGTTAACTCGCTCACCCCGCCCCGACCCGTACACACACCCCCCACCCCCTTCAATTGCACCCACAAGTTTATTTTGACTTTTGAGTCTAAATTTAACTCCAAAGTCAAAGTTAACTTGTGGGGTGCAATTGAAAAGGGTGGGAGGGTGAGTCCGGATCAGACGGGTGGTTTACCGGGGGTTAGGGGGATAAGAATCGTCAATTTTACAAACGGGACACCGGAGTGCCTCCAGATCATCCCATGACATGGAGTTCTAAGGTCATGGGAACTCCACCCTTTTATTTTTAAAGATAAATTAGTTTACCTGCAAGCAGATGGGACAAGAAAAGTCTTCAAGATTTGTGCTCATTTTATTGCAACATTTAACTCTGTACTTGGGCAGTTTCTGTATGGTGTCAAAAGATAATCCTCTGCTTGGAGTGGAAGTATCAAATATGTCTGCTATTTCCCTCAAATTTGTGTCCACTCCATCAACCTTGCATCAATTTAAATGAAACATTTTCAATATTATTATTTCAATAAAAAATATTAGGTTTTTAAAATAATTTATTATTAACAGATATGAAAAAAATGGAAGATTAAATGTAAGTAATTAATTACCTGCCACTGGTAAGCTTTGAGCATTGCAGGGCAAACCCAGTCCATAAATATCTTTCCATCTACAAGACTACACACAAGTGCCACCTGTACAAATTGGTCAACATTGCATTACATCCTTAAACAGGTACTCTTAATTAATTGGATGGAGATTCTTTATAAGACTTTATCACATAATGCTACTTCAATATCTATGTGTTATGTGACTAGAAGGAAAACTCCAACATTAATTTTAACATGTATATTAAAAAAGAAGAAGATAAATACCATTTTAGGATCCTTCAAGAGTGATATGGGTAGTATGTAAAATGGTAAATAAAGTTTTAATCTTAGATTGAGCAATAGAGAGTATGATATACTTTATATTTTATACTCTTTTTGTCACATAGTGTTTGTCTACTTTGACATTTTTGAATCAAATTTGATAATTTTTAACCATCAGTTATATTAAATGTGCATTGTGCGTCTTACTACCATGAATGAAACTAAAAACGCTCTAAAAATGACTCGAAGTTTGAAAACGAGTTCAAGCTCGTGGTTGTGACCCAAAAAATGATTCTTATATTCTAACATGTCCCTCACGTGCATGCATAATATTATACCTGAGACCTTAGTTTTTTAAAACTGGATGACCCTGAGTTTCAAACCCGGGACATCTTAGTGAACAAGGCTCCGATACTATATCAAAGAACCAACTCGATCAACCAAAAGTTCAAGCTTGCGGTTGTGGCTTGGGAAATGTTTCTTATATTCTAAGAGTTTTAAATGTAAAACAAGTCTTACAGACGAGATTGTGGACAATTATTTGGAAATTTTAGAAAACTCATTAGTAAAATTTTCTTGAAGGAAAATGGAAAATTTATTGACTACGTACCTTGGAAAAAGGTTCTCCGTTGAGCATAAGCTCGAACAGCTGGACGGCAGTGATGGCTCCAGCTACAGAACCAACGGCAGCCCCTCTGAACAGCCCGGTTTCCGTCGTCTGCCCCTTCAGAGCTCCGGTCACTATCCCGACCGTCGCACCGCCTGACGCCGACGGCAGCAACGTTAATTTCCCAATCATTATATATATCCACACAAAAACAGCATACATATATCTATAGATATAATTGGGAAAAAAAAGAAGAAGAAGAATTTACCGAGAGCAAGAATGCACATGAAGAGAGACCAGAGAACGGTCTTGAGCAGAGCCAGGGAAGAAGATGAACGGCAAATGTCCGCCGGAATCTTCCACCATTGATACAAAAGATCTCTGCCCGGGAGAACCAGACCTCGGAGTGTCGAAAATCCCACCATTTTCATCGCCATTGATTCAACTGGCGGGACTGCTTGATTTTTGATCGATATACGGGATGAAGATATATTATTGGAATATAATGTACGCACACACACACATATTTATACTCCCTCAATAGTAATCCTTCCGTTCTCTAACAGGGAGTAATGTTTTACTTATTTTTTTATAGTGCCAAACTCTTTTTTAATTATTTTAATAAAATAAAATATTTTTGTTACTATTTATTTTGTAAAACTTTCAATTAGTTTTTAAATATATTTTTATACTCCGTATTTATTAGTTCTAATATATACTTTATCTGTCCTGAAACGTTCTTCTCAACTTTAATCATTTTATTTACATATTTTTGTTAGTTATTTGATAAAATAAGAGTCTTGTCAAGTCTTGATTTGGTAGAACCGTAGAACTTTTGATATGCTCCGTAGTTTTTAATTATAAAAATTTTAATTTTTAATTTTATGCATACAACCCAATAAATTAAATAAATCCGGTCAAACCTTACAAACAGAAATGTGAAGAATATTTTAGGACGCAGGAAGTACACTCTTTGTATAAGTTGAGTTGAAGCAAAATTCGGTTAAACTTCATAATCCAAAAGTGGAACATTATAATGATATAGAGCAAGTATTCTAGTACTCCCTCTATTCCTAAATTAAATTCTCTTTTTTCTATTTTGTCCACCAAAATAGCTTTGCATGTTTTATTGCACCTCATAATTTTTATTTTGTTTTTATTTATCTAAAATAATATTTACATTGATTCGTAATTTTTTAAACAAATTTAAATTATTAGCTAAGTTAATTAGTTAAAAATTAAAAACATCATTATATGTGAAGTATAATTTTAATATTGGTTTGTAGATTTGCATTTTGCATTTTATATTTACAATTTTTTTTTATAACGGAGTGTTATTTAAATATTCAAATTTTATACTTTCTAAAAATTAATTATTAAAAAAATTAAATATTTAAATAATTTCTAAAAATATTTTATTTTATGAGTTAAAGTTATTTATTTAAAAATAGTTGAAGTAAGCTCGTAAATTGACGTTTGTAACCTCTATTTGTAGTAAGAAAATTATGAAATTGGTATACCCTTATGTGGCGCTAATGTGGAGAAAAAATTGATGGAGTTAGAAAAGTATAACGAATATGTATATATACGAATATATACACGCATATCTTCTTATGGCTTTACTTCGTTTTAGAATAATAATGATTCGGGTGTTGCTAAATGCACCCATCTTTTTTCTACATCCATCCCATTTGTTAATGCATAATAACCACACATTTGGATGGAGGCTTAAGGCGAGTAGGGGTGGGGGTGGGATTGGGGTTAGGGTAGGGGGTTTATGGGTAGGAACTATTAATTTTTCGATTGAGCACCAGATGAGTTTTAAAAATACAGTAACACTGCTAGTATCACTGTTTACGATGTCAACGGAACCCCAATATATAAAGTAAACTAAAATGTAAAAGTATTCTATGATATAAGTTTAAAAGAATTAAACTAAGATAAATAATCGTGACCAAATACCCGTATAGGATAAAAATCTTAAAAGCATTAAAGAAGAGGGTGAGGAAGCATGAGAGTAGGAGTGCCCATCCACGTGCCCGACGTCGTGCTGCGTGTCTGGATAATGATAGTGGTCATAACGACACTCTCTCCATTCCTAAATATATCTCACATTTACTTCTTGGTAGTCGCAAGAACTTTTGTTTATTTCTATATGTTCATTGGTTATTTAATAAAATAAAATATTCCTAACACTTCTTATTTCGGAGAGCTTTTCATCTAGTTTTTGATATGTAAATTTTATTTTTTATTTCTATACCAATATGTAAATAATATGAATTGAAAAAACTTGATACTTTACCTCAATAATTGAAATGCAAGATATATTTAGGGACGAAGGGAGTATTTTTTGCAAATGTTTTTCCATTTAAAATTTTAAAATTATCTTTGTAGTTAGATTTTCGTACTTTTTCTAATCACAAATTAAAACTAATTTTATATTATACGAAATCAATTATATTCAACTTATATTATAATTACATTTTTATAATTTGTGTTGTAAATAACTAAAATGTCAAACTAGAAAGATAATGTAGTGAAGAAAATAGTACTCCGTATCATTATATTATTAAAGCAGCTTTACACGTTTCTCTTCCTTTTCTTTGTATCTCCTATTTATGATGTCATATTATTTTTCTATTAAATTTTGTCACACCACTTTAATGGTTTTTCATATTTTTTCGACATGTCATAAATTTACTTACATCTATATAGTAAATCAAGATAGTCAATAAATTTAAAACATTCCCATCCATTTTTTCTCTCTTCTCTCTCTTTTCTCTAAGAGTAAACTACAATGCAATTCTTACTTACATTAGACTATCTCTAGCGGACTTGACCCCGGGTGCGAATAGGGACGTCACACGCCGTCACGGTGTGATCATCGCGCCACCACCGACGTTGGCGACGTAGCGAAAGGAGCTTGATGGCGGTCATTGGCACTGCCCCTCACTCTTTAAACATCCAACGAATCAAAATTTAACATATTTTATATCAATCAATCAGAATAACTCACACGTTCACACTCATCATTCGCATTCATCATAGCAAACATATTTTTATCAGTCTACATCATACTCATTTACTCTCCCTCAAACTAACTCCACTATTATTTACTCCCTCCGTCCCCCATAGATCTTCCCAATAGCCATTTTTCTTTGTCCATAATAGATCTTCTCATTTCATTTTTTAACAATTAAAATACCACAACTACCCCCACTTACTTTATTTATTACCCCTCACCCACCTCATTTAATACACTCCACCCATTTTCATTAAGGGTATTATGGTAAACTTTCACCTTTTTTCAACTCTCCTTAAAAACCACAAAAAGTCAAAATGAGAACATCTTAGGTGGACGGAGGGAGTAACTCTTTAGAGGTGTACGTCTAAAACGAATTCATGAAGACTTGGCCTAAAATACGTAGGAGACCATATTGTTAATCTTTTGAAATGCTAATGCTAATTTTTAACATTAGTGTTTAATAGATTAGTGTTTAATAGATTAGTGTTTAATAGGACCGTAAAATTAGGGGATGGTATACACAATCCACCAGTTTTTAAGTTTTAACTTAATTAAGATTTAAGAATGACAAGTTTATTCCAAATAATACCCAAACACTCACGAAATGTATAGGAAAGCCAAATAGTCAAAGTCTCAAAGATATATCGAGGCTTTAATCACACTAATTGCCGGGATCTTAAAATAGGGATGGTTCGAAATCCAATCAAAATCAATCAAACCTTAATTAGAATTGAAAGAATCGTGAATCAAAATCAATCCAACCTTAATTAGGATTAAAAGATTCGTAAAGAAATCAGTTTCTATTCCTAAAAATCAAGCCAAATCATTTAAAACGGTTATTTTTTTCAAAATTCTTTTTTTTAAGGAAAAAGTTAGCAATTTTAATTGTATTTGAAGCTAACTACTTTCGTTCTTGTAAGTAAAAGATAAAGAAATCACCCTAAATAAGAATAAGATGTTAAAAAAGTATTAAACTATGAGTTTCGTGTTTTATTCCCTAAATAGAAGCTTGCATTGTAGTATTGTGACACTATAAATGTGTATTTTACGTAATGTTCAAGACATGACTGCTAATGTAAATACATTTTAAATTCTATTTCATGAATAAAAACATAAAACTCCTATCTTGTGGTACCCATATGATTCTTAAAAGTTACTCCCTCCGTCCTATAATGTTCTTCCCGGTTCATTTTACGAGGTTTGACTGACTTTATTTTCAATTCAATTTATTTGATTGTAGGTGTAAAATTAAAAAATAAAATTTATATATTTAAAAACTACATCAAAAATTCTACAAAATAAGTGGTGACAAGACTATATTATTTTATCAAATACCTAATGAAAATATATAAAGAAAGTGATTAAAGTTTGACCGAGTAAAAAGTGAGTGGGAAGAACATTTTAGGACGGAGGGAGTAAAAGAGATAACATGTTTTGAAACCCTACTGAAGGCAAAAATTCTCCCAAAGTCAAAATCAACAAATTTCTATCTTCACAACAAATTTTAATCACATTTCTTATTTCATATATATTTTTAACATTTTCATGAACTCTCATCAATACAACCCAAAAAGTCGGTATTTTTTTGTGGAGCATTCCTCGTGTACGTTAAAATTTATACTGCATTTGTACACCAAAGATATACACTAATATTTTGATGGTTTACACTGACATAAAGTGTTGGTGCGTTAACAAAAATTAACATTAAACCAACACAAATTGTTGGTGCATCTCTGCGGTGTACAAAATGTGATACAAATTCTTGAAACCCGGGGAAGCAGTAAACTCTGTAGGGTATACTGCACCGTTATGTAACGGAACGTCCTGTCGAAAATATCTATTCGACATATCCATATATACCCCATAACTCATCTGCCGTCAAACCGCATTAAAGATACTTTGGTACGAGTGCCTCCATTCCCTTCTATAAGGTCTTTACTCTTATTCCCCTAGATATTTTGTACCCATTTCATAAAATACTCTTACCTTATCTAAAATATTCTTACCTTATCTAAAATATCTAACATATTTCCAAAATAACTTCAACCCGTAATAGAATAAAAATAAGGTGTGTTAATGAGGATTTTAGATGGAATAAAAGTGGTTTGTGAAATGCACAAAAATATGGCGAAATTATTTTGTGAACTGAGGGAATAGAACCATTTTAAAATATGTTTTTATGGTTTAGTAGCTTGTCGGTCTGATTCAGAATAATGTGGAGTCAGTATTTTTTTACCGAGATCGTAGCTCGATCAATGTGCCGGAGGTACGAATTAAATAAGGTAGCATCGGATTTTGTACGTTGGGAATGACAATACTCTACATAGAGTTTGCACATATCAACGAATAGATCTCACCTCTTATCGATCAATCTAACCCAATATAGGAGTATAACGTAATTTATTTTACTCTTGGTTTGGACCGATAGCGTGAGGATCCAAGAAGATGGGGTTCACTACTTTCTTGTCATAGAAATTTTTTATTTAAAAATTAGTCATCTTCCTTTGAGCAAATTTT